CACACTAATTGCCCATAAGAACAATGCTTTTTTATCCCAAAAAAGTATATACAGTATTGCTGTTTTTCTAGGAGGCAGACCCTGGAAAGCCAGCAGCATACACTTTTCCCCTCTTTTTTGGGATGTAATTAATGTAATTAATTACACCCCAAAATTAATTAAATTAAATTAATTAAATTAATGTAATTAATATGTTTCAATGGGGGGGACTCTCTTGCAAAACAGGGTCGAAAGAAAACCTGTCTCAGAAAACATCGTCCAGAGAAAATTGCCCATAAGAACAATTGTTTTGTGAAGCGCAACATTGCTCAAAAAAAAGTCATCGCCTAGTGAATTCGAGGCACACTGTAATGGCCAATGTAAATTTGTATTTCACCTGCTAGCAAGATGTATATATAAACTGTATATATATGTGTGTGTGTGTGTGTGTGTGTGTGTAAAAAATTGATGCAATTTATGTAATGAAGTGGGAATTAGTTGTATACATTAGAAATATTTGGGATAAAAAGAAAAGCTTCCAGTTCTAAACCTCTGAGATCTTTGTATGAACTCTTGTGGAGAAATGCTTCGGCTTCAAAAAAAGAAGCCCTCAGCTGCAGAGAAGCAGGCAGACAGGTGATGTTAATGAAAGCTGATTTGATTGGGTAACCTTTCCTCCTTGTTCTTTCAGATGAAGTGTGGTCTGTTTACTATGCTTCATTGTTCTTTAACTGTTGAAGGTTAAATCTAGTTCTTGCTCATGGTGCTGCAAACAGATGAGCTGAGCTTAGGAACAGGGTTGTACTAAGTTGAAATATTTTGGAGGGGGCTCCTTGATGGAATGGAATGGTGCACTATGCTAATTAACTTAACAAAAAGGCAATAAACACCTCTTATTTTTAGCTTTGTTTCTAGAAAATGCTACTTCTTGTGTTTAGAGCAGTGGTTCTCAACCTTGGGTAACCCAGGAGTTCTGCAACTCCCAGAAACCCAGGCCAGCACAGCTGGGAGTGAAGGCTTCTGAGAATTGCAGTCCAAGAACACCCAAGTTACCCAAGATTGGGAACCACTGGCTTAAAGGATGGTGTATTAAATTATACTCGCTAAATTACCTTCATTCCTACTGGAAATTGTTTGAAGTCTTGCAGTGGTTTTGCAGAATGCTGTGGTACATTTTCTTTATTTAACAGTATATTGTTCTTGCGGTGGCTCCGAGAGAAAATTAGACAACCATCTGTCAGCTCTACTTTGATTTGGATTTCTGCATTGAGCAGACCCCTTCCAACTCAATTATTCTATGATTCTGTCTGGTATATGTAATATTTTCAGGTGGTCTCTTATTCAGGCAACAACATCAGCAGTAGCAATATATCACATGCCTTAAAAGCAATAACTGATTTGAATGGACCAATAGGGAGAAAGTGGTGTGTGTGTGTGTATGGACATGTATTTAAGAATTGCAGTTCAGTCAGGAGGAACCTGTCTTCTGTGTGCCCTTTTACATAATGGGTCACTGACCCTGGCAATAGGAATGGAACCCAAGGGAGGAAGTAGCCACCTACTAGCCATTCCTTTGAACCTTTGGACTGTGAAACAAGGGACGATCAGAGACTTGAACATTGTGAAGTGAACCTTTGGACTGTGAAACAAGGGACGATCAGAGACTTTAACACTGTGATATATTGAGGAACTGTTTGCAGCTTTCTAGCATCTGTAAACACAACTAAATATGTAGATTTCTTTTATCATGGTGATGTGTTTCTTCCTACATAAAAGCAGTGTCTATATTTGGAGGAAGTTTTTTTATGCATAGCTCTTTTCAACTTTTGGATGGCACAACTGTGAAACAAGGGACGATCAGAGACTTTAACACTGTGATATATTGAGGAACTGTTTGCAGCTTTCTAGCATCTGTAAACACAACTAAATATGTAGATTTCTTTTATCATGGTGATGTGTTTCTTCCTACATAAAAGCAGTGTCTATATTTGGAGGAAGTTTTTTTATGCATAGCTCTTTTCAACTTTTGGATGGCACAATAACTAATTAAAAACTGTGGCTGTTCAAATATATATATTAAAGACCACCAGTAGTGAATAATTAGTTGGACTGTGTTACTTGGCCTGCGGTGTAGATGTTTGTATTTTTAGTGGGGGACTTTTAGTGGATGGGGAGTGTTTGGGGAATTTTATGTGTGTGCATGTGTCTAGTCTCTGGGTGTCTGTGAATTTTGTTGTATGGGTATACTGTGTATATACTTACAATGACAATAAATTATATATATTCTGAATAGATATCTATTCACTAGAAAATGCAAGGCAGCTTGACATGTCTGGACATATCTTGCAGGGAATTTGATGTGCACCAAAATCTCCTCTAGCAAAACAGAAGCATTAACTGAAAATCAAGAGATGTTGGAAGAACTGTTCTTGAAATACTGGCTAAAAATGTCTACAAACAATGATGGATATTTAAACAATATGAAGAAGATAGATATAAGGTCAGAATCCAAAAGCCATGCAGAGATTATTACACTAATCAGTGCAAAAATTAGAAGAGAACAAGGGAAGAGAAAAAAACAAGAGATCTCTTCTGTAAGAGCCAAGAAATCAAAGAGAGATTTAAACCTAGAATAAGAATGTTGGAAGATCAACAGGGAAGCATATTATCTGACCAGAGTAAAATGATGGGAAGATGGAAACTATGTACTGAATAATTATAGAAAAGAGAGGCAAAGATGACGGATTTGTTTTGATGAAAAAACCCTGCCATTTTAGAAAGTGAAGCAAAAGCTGTGTTCAAGGTTCTTGGAAGAAATAAATCATCAGGAGTAGATGGGATAACAATAGAACAATTCTAAGCTGCAGAGACCGAATTTATGAAAATGTTAAAAAGAATATGCCAACATATATGGAAGACAAAATAGCACACAGATTGGAAGGATTCAATATATGTTCCATTCACCAAGAAAGGAGATGCCAGAGAGTGCAGTAACTATCGGGACATTGCATTAATTTCCTGTGTAAGCAAAGTTATCCCCAAATCTATGTAACAAAGACTTTCTGGAGGTCACTAATTTACTGGAAGTAAGTTGATGGCATATAACAACAATATGAATGGGTGGGCACTGGCCAGTAGCTGAGATTGATCTTGGTCTCTTCCGTGCCATTCCAGAGTCCTATCTGAAGGTCAGTGGAAGGCTATAAAAGGCTTCTTTCACCAGGCCACTATCTGGGAGGGGTGTCATTTGCCCCAGGAATTGGATTTGAAAGGGTACAGGAAAGCAGGAGGATTAAAAGGGCAGGGGAATTCCCATCCGAGGAGCTTCCTGCCCAGAAGAGGCTAACAATCCTTTGATAATTGTGTCCATGAATAAAGTTGATGTTATTGATACTGATTTGAGTAGAACATCACAGGGCTGAAGTCTTGAATGTGTACACTTAAATTCAAAGACATAAATCTATTACTTACTGCCTGTTCATAGCTGCCTTTTCTAAATAGATAGTTATGTTATTCTTTTTCAGCATGTTGGCAAAATTAAAGGTGGGGAAAAGGGACTCCCCCAAAAGATGAAGTATTGCTGGTCTATTCATAATTACTCATGAACATACTGATTTCCGAGAAGCAGACTTAACCCAATCTATTACTATCCTATCTCTGTGAGCTTCCTGTGAGATTATTCTCTATAGTTCAAGAGCAGAATCAAAGAGATGTGCTTGTTCACTCGTAGATGCACGGACAATTCAATTTAGGCAATATAGGAATGTTTATAGCTGATTTCAGCGACTGAGGTCAACAAGTTCACCATTCTTTTTCATTCTGCAGAGGCTATGCTTCTGTATGATTCACAGCTTCCTTTTGGGAGGAAAATTATCTTTCTTTGCTCTATATTCTTGTGTGTGTGCATGTGCACACACCTGGGTTCTGAAGAAAGAGTACTTAAATTAGCTTGCTTTTCATTTGCAGCTGTCTCTGTATGAATTTCAGAACTATATATTCTGTGAAATAGATAATTATGTGTAACAGTTGGAAACATCAAATGAGTGCTGAATGAAATGGAAAGATTCAAAACTACATAAAAGATAGAGAAATAACTCATGTTGTGTCATTCAAGGAGATATGTTTATTATGAATAAATCTGCACAAAGACTTATACCTAAAGACTTACATCTTGGCAGATGGTTCTAAGAAAAATGCAAGCTAGTCCGCTCTCTCTCTCTCTCTCTCTCTCTGTGTAGGTTTTTTTTGTTATTGTTGTTTGGGCTGTGTAACCGTACTCTCTCTCTCTCTGTGTGTGTGTAGGTTTTTTTTGTTATTGTTGCTTGGGCTGTGTAACGGTGCATTCTCCTTTTCCATTATCTTAGCTGTTACGCATTTTAACTTTTTTTGTATGTGTGTGTGTTGATTGCTTCAAATAAGCTCTTGATCTTAACAATAACTTCTTAGTCTTTTGACTAAATGAAAACATACTGTTCAATAAACTGCTAGTACAGCTGGTCAAAGGCTTAAACAGGAAAAAGGACACAGGATCCTGTGGTAGGTAGAAGGTAAACATTTTCTTGTTTATGCCTTTTTAATACTCTTGTTTAGAAGTTTGACATTTTTAATTTGTTTTCTTTCTTTTTACTATTCTAGCTCTGAGCTAGTCTTTTGGGGGAAATAACAACCAGCTCTATTTGGAGAGTGGCTTTGATCTCCATTTTTAAAAAAAATGTTTTAAGAAGCTAGAAGTCTAGCAATTTGTTGTGTTTTATGCTTTGTCAGATCATGCCCCCTCACCACATGTTCTCCACAGATGGTTTGGGAAAAAAGGGTGGAGGAGAGATGACAGGATGCCTGCAGTGTGACGACTCTGCTAAAGTTCCCATGAGATTGTTTCAGAAATGTCAGCCATCTACTGAGGTTCCTGCAGGTGCTCAGCTATGGCATGTGCCCTTTCACCTGGCATCATTAACTTGTTTTTATTTCCTCAATGTTTACCATTTCTCATCATAACCTTTTTCCTTGTTTTGTTTTCACAGAGCGCCCTTGAAGGGAAACTTAGCAAGCTGTGGAGACACCTGCTTGCCATGAGGCAAAATCTGAGTTTCATGCTAGCCCCAGGACAGATGTCCTCTGAGGCAGCTCATCATACCCTACCAACTGTTGTTTATGCTCGGCTGATAAATCATGCAGCTCAGTGTCATCGGTCTGTGGAGGAATGCTGCCGTGACTTGTTCACTTTGACACTTCTGGTACCTTCCGCACCTTGGGTGAGTGATGATGCATTTGGCATGTTGGGGTTGCTTCAGAATGCTGCTCAGATTGTTACATTCACCTGATGCATAATGGTTTTGTTTTGCCTCTAGCTTTCATGAATACTTCATTCCTGTTTATCCAAAAAGGGCACAAGCTGTACATTTTTTTCCTTTTGAGGGGAGAGAAAGAAGGAAATCCATTTTACCTACCAATTTAAAATGCTGCTTAGGCCATTTTCTGCAGCTGTGGCATTCTGTACAGAACTAATTTTGGTTACAAGTAAGAATGTTCTTCTTTTAAGCCACTTTCCTCACTTTGCAATGATGGTCTGGAAGCCCCTGGAGCTTGTTCCTTTATTCAACATTATCTTTTTAGGAAGTAAAGCAATACTGGTGCAGGAAGAAGTCAAGCTGTGAGCGTCTATTAATTTCTCTCTGATACTGATTCCATACAGATAGCATAACAAGAAGTGTCTGTGTCTGTGTGTCTCTCTGTCTCAGGTCAAGTTGTCTCAGCACTTGGACAAGTGTCTGTGTGTCTCTCTGTCTCAGGTCAAAGGTATGACACTTGGACAGTGCTCTTAGAGCAGCATAAAACTGTATAACACCCCTTGGTAGTGTAAGTTTGTGGTGGTGCATCATAGCTGACATTTGTCCCTGAAATGGTTAACTTCAATATGAAACAGATACCCCTTTCCAATCAAAATTCATTTGGATATCAAGGAATAAGTTGCTTTAAAAAATGATTCCAGGCAACATCAGCTTGCCTATCTCTACAAGCTTTATTCATCTATATTGCTTCTATGCACAAAAATGCACGAATGAACAAGTTAAAAAGGTATTAAAATGTTCCTGTAGCTATGAGAAAAAGCTATAGGTACAAACATGTGGAAATTATACTTAAGTTGAAGGAAAATACATACATCAGAAAAATATATTTCAGTTATAAACACTTAGCTATGAAAATTGTGAACAAGAACTTAAATCATATTTCAGTCCAAAAATATAGGAGCTTGTAGCCTCAAAAAGCACAATAAAAATAGCAAGTACATCTCTAAAATACATCATTAAAAAGTAAAAAGCATTGTAGTTTTGAGCAATTAGCATATCCAGACATACATAGAAAATTGTTTTAACATGTTCTCACCCAATCAAGCCATGTACCAGTTTGCCTTTATGGAAGAAATCCTCTGTTTGTGTTTCCTTTGTGCTGCTGTATCTCCTGTTAGTTTCTTTCTTCTTGGCATCTCAAGCCTGGAGCCTCTATTGGTATCTGGAGTGTTTGTTGCTGTCTCTTCCTTCCCTATATTTATATTTCTCTTGTTTCTTTATTTTTCTCTTCAACTATCAACAACTGTGGCTTGCCGGTAGAGGAAATTGCTGCCCTATCTGACATTACTCCCAAAATTCTATGAAAATTTACTTTTCTTTTGCCAAACCAGCAAACCTCTGGGAGCATGTACTGCTTTGGGAACAAACTGCCAAGAGACCAGATTGCTAGTGAACGAATTTGGTCAGATACCTATTTGCTATACTTGCATTTCAGTACCCTAGGAGTTGCATGGCCTAAGATTTTTCCCCTTAGCTTGTATTTTCTTATCATTTATTTATACTGTATGACCATACACGAGTGTTAGCTTGCTAGGAAAGAGATACTTTGTCAGGCAATGTTATTTTACTTTGACTTTGCTTTCAGACTTGGATGGATAACTGGCTGATTGTTCTGCAGTGACTTTTAGTATACTGCTGTTCAAACTTCATTGTCTTAATCATAATGTACAATTTCAGGTTTGCTTTTTTACACTTCCCTTAATAATTTTCTACACAAAGAACATTTCTGAAGAAAAGAGCCATCCCTGAAATAATAGGGACCTGCTACCAGATAAAAAACAATAAACAACCCAACATCTTCTAGATTTCCAAAAATTAAATTGAACACAGTAAATTATGACAACATTAAAATGGATGAACTAGTGTTTCATATTTTCTCCAGCTGATACTACTTCTGCAAGCCATCTCTTGTACAATGCTAGATTGGAGAAGCTAAGTACTCACTGGAATGTTCTAAGTTTGTACAAGTCAGGTTCCTCATTTCATATATTTGTTTGATTTGAATTGAGAGCAGACTCATAAAATGAACACTAATGTCTGGTATAAATCAGTCCTTAGGTGGAATTTTGATAAAGAAACTTGAACATTATGCGTCTGAGTTAGTTACACTGTTAACAGAACACATCTGATGGTTATCTTTTCTGAGTTCCTCAAGCATGTGTGCATTACTCGTGAACTTTTGGAGTTTTTTCATTCTAGACCATTGGTAGCCTCATATACTTCAGGGATTTGGCTTGATCTTGTTCAGACTTCCTCCTTTCACTAACACTTTACAGAGCATCCTTCACAGTCCATCAGTCTAAGGCTAAATATTGTGAATGTATATAACACAGGTTGTGTCTTCCCATTTATATATAGGTAATTGAACATGACACAGCCTCTTCAGAACTTGCTGAATGAGTATGAATGAGGAGATTCTAGGCATTTTTGTCTCTGGTATCTGCCTGGTGTGATGTACAGAATTAAAGGAACCCTTACTAACACAGTTGCATTGTATTCTTCAAAGAATGATCTAGCAAATAAATTATAGAAACCATTTGAGAAAACCACCAGCCTCTGGCAATATTTCTAGAATAGGTTTGAAATCCTCTCACACACAATGTAAGCATTGGAATGGTCTTGCATTTCTAGAAACTGCAATATATATTTAATCTGACACAGTGCTTTCAGCAGTTGTTTCCCTGGAAGGATTTGGCTGTCTGTGAGAAAAGTAGCTAGATAAAGAGACTTTTCAGGAAAAAAAATGGGAAACTTGATTGTTTAAGTTTAATGTAGATCAGAAACAGAAGTCATTGAAAAAGAAGCTGAGGATTTTGCAAGAATGTCTTTTATATTCCTATGGTACTGAGAGCAAATGAGCATATTCATACCCATAGCAAGCCAATAGAGTGCAACACTATATATAGATTTAGTCTCTGCATTATTTACAGTGCACTATCATGCAGTCTAATTAGCCATGTGATAATTGGATACACTGCAACTTAAAATTCAAAACTATAATAATCCCATTTGAAATAGATGTTTCCTATTTATCCTGATCTTACTAGAGTCTTTGAGGGTTTTCATTACAACTTCATAGTGAAATAATGTTCATTAAGATTTGAACTTAAATGAATATTGAAATGACCCTTTAAAAAACCCAACAATTTAACCTCCATCTCACAGGAGGTGCTCAGAGTCACCTTCGAATAATTTGCCCTCTTCTAGTTCATTACCAACTCCAGACAGCTGTTCAACATCTCTGGAGCCTTGGCTGAATCTGATGACAAAGATAAATAGAGCTGGATGTCATTGGCCTGCTAAGGACACCTTATTCGAAATCCTCTCATGATCTGCCCCATTGGCATAACATGGCAAACCTATGGCACACGTGCCACATCTGGCATGTGAAGCACTTCTGGCACGCGAGTGAGTGGCCCTCCCACCCACTGTTGTGGAAACAAACCTTTTGAAGTGGCTGCAGCTGGGATCCCCCCTTTCTCTTCCTGTTCTGGGTCCTTTAATTTCCTGTCCGTCCCCATGATTCCCCCTTTATCTTCCTGTCCATCCCCGTGATTCCCCCTGAAACTGCCACTTCCTGTTCCAGTTCTGGTCTTCTGGGCGGCACGGCAGCCACTGGTTTCTTCCCCACCCCCTCATTTTGGGCACTCCAGCCAAAAAAGGTTTGCCTCCACTGAATAGACCATAAAGGGTGTGGGAGGTAAGATGCTGCCTTGCAGGACTCCACAGCTTAGATGTTATGGAGTCAGCAGTCCACCAGCATTACTTTCCCACCTCTGCCTTACAGATATGAGTATACCACCATGTCATGTGGCCATCAACTTCCATATATAGAAACAATCCAAAAAATAACCCCCAAACTATACTTGACTGCATGTATTCTGCCCATATGCAGTGGATCCTTTTATAATTCTTGAAGGATTGGAATATAAAATCTGTCTTATCTCTGGATCTTTCTGTAGTTTCTTACAGGAGTGAGAGCCATGATTTGACAGCCATATTTTCCTGCAAATAGATGCCCTTGTAAAGGCAACTCCATGTTATGCTTTGCTGCAAGGGCTACATAAACATTTGCCTGTTGAAATGAAAACAGTACTCTGTACTTGTCAAGTAGAGCAGGTATAGTATAGTATATCCAGATTTCTTGATAATAGAACTGAGGTTCTACTATAGTGCTGGTCATCTGATGGAGTTCAGGTTGTGCCTTTCGAGTGACACCTCTGGGAGTTAAAGCCTAATCATTTGAGCAGTTGTGTTAATTCACAACCTGTAGGATCAGGCTGCAAGAAAAATCAAGGTGAACAAATCCAGCTGTAGCATTTTGCAGTTTACTGAGGATACTAATTTTCAGTGAGTTTTGAAAACTAGAAACATTTTTTCATGGAGGCATTTAAATGCAAATGAACATGTTGGTTGTTTTCATGTTTTCTGTTTCCAGCATGTCCTGTAAAGTGAAGCATTTAAAAAGCCAGCTTCTGAATTACTTTGCAGGGCAAATAGCATATTGCACCCAAGTGCATATAGTGTGACTACAATTGTGCTTTGTTCTTTTTCATGAAGAAAATAGCACTGACTGTTTTTCTGCTTTAAAATGTTCCACTTTAGAAAACTGTCCATCAGCTGCTGGCTTCCAAACACAGGAAAACATGTGGGAAAGAAGCTGTGTATGGTGGGTGGGTAGGAAGTGGAAGAGAGCAGTTGCCACTGGGAAGTAGTTTTCCTTTTCTGCTGCTTCTCTGTTCAAAATGAGTTCTTCCTGAAGTGGCCTTTCCTCAGAAAAAGTAGGTACTGGAGCTGTATTGGACATTAATATATATGAAACAACTCATCGTTGCCCCGGGACTCAGGTTTTCAGATAACGGGATGTCAAACCTCTCACACTCTAAAACACAAGTCGGTTGATT